AGAAATCTTTTATTTAAGCTTTATTTATTTAAGCTTTTTTATTTAAGCTTTATTTATTTAAGTTAAGCTTTAGAAAATGAAGATTTCAGTGCACTAGAAAGAGTTTGTTTAGAAATTTCGACGTAAATATTGGATTGGTGAATTGAAAACTCGCTATTTCGCTTTTCGGCTATTTCGGCTATTTCGCGGGATCTCGCAGATAAAAGGGATTCATTTAGGGATTCATTTAAGGATTCATTCACCTTTCCCAACTGTTCACTGTATTTGATTGCATTAAGGGTCGTCTTGCTATCCAGCAACTCCCAGTAAACCACTCCAAGCTCATTACTCATGATCCGGAAAAAATAGTAATCAAAAGCGGTCCGGACTGTATGGGGAATGCGCGAAAAGTGCCCAAACAAGGCTTTTATTTTAGAGCGAGTCAGTTTTGCAACATGAGGGCGCATTGTCGTGTAGGAGAACGATCTTTGACTTGGAGGGCCTATTCTTCTTCAGGGATTCATTCACCTTTCCCAACTGTTCACTGTATTTGATTGCATTAAGGGTCGTCTTGCTATCCAGTAACTCCCAGTAAACCACTTCCTCCATATCCCAGAGCATAAACTTCTTCTGGTGCAAATCGGGCTTAGGGTAACTTTCGGGTTTCTCGCCTGGCCCCACCAATTGCCGCTTCCTCCGAAAGTTCACAGATAAAACCCACCTATAGAAGTGTCGCCTAGTCTAACGCGGGAATGATCGGACGATTTCGCGGCGCTACTTAGATGAAAACGTCTATTAAGCATGGGGAAAACGGTGCTCTTTTTAGTTTTTACGCATTCTCAATGGTTCACAAGAAAAACGCTTGCAAAGTTTTGGTTCAAGAAGTCGCAAATCGCAAATTTGACTGTAAACGGATTCGAACCAGGGTCAAGAAAGCAAAAGTGGGTTTAAGAGCGCTGACATTTACCTCCACACTATCCAGCAAGGAAGGAAAGGAAGGGAAGGAAGGAAAAGAGTCTATATATCTCCGAGATGAGACCAGTACGCTTAGGTATCAAATTAAAGTAGAGAAGATGAGTGATTTTTTGAGATATAACACATATTTTTAGCTTTAACCAGTGCTTAGAAAAAAAAGCTATTGAAAAACGATGAAAAAATCGGCTCTTTTTTATCACTTTTTCTTTTTCCAGACGTTTCCGCGCCAAACGTCGGAAAATACCGTAACCCGACGCCATAAAAGGACCCCGCCACGAAGAATTTTTCAGTCTTTCGTTTCAGGCTCTTTTTTGCCACTTTTCAATCATTTTTTTCTAAGCACTGGTTAAAGCTAAAAATATGTGTTATATCTCAAAAAATCACTCATCCTCTCTACTTTAATTTGATACCAAAGCGCGCAGAAACAAACGTACTGGTGTCAAGATTCGAGCGTTTGTTTGAGAGTAAACTTGGACTACGCGACGCGACGATAGGGGGCCGTTCTATTAGAGTTTTTACGTTATTCAGTAGGTTTTTATTTTCGTATAGCAATTCATTTTCTAATTTATGCGTTCAGCTTTCAAGCATTTGGGAGTGGAACAAATGCGACCTTTTTTTGCGCACCCGGACATTTGCGCACCTTTTTTCCGCAACTTGCCCATTAGCGCACCTTTTTTTCGCGTTTTAAAAAAGCTCTAAAAAGCTAATATTAACCAATTTCTATTCCAAAAGTTGTTTTTCTGTTTTTCTAGGTAATTTTAGAGCGTAGAATCGAAATTTTGACATATCAGAGCTTGTGGAAGCGGACGAACGGAGTTATACAAAGAGAAAAATCAACTATTTTCTGTAATTTGACCTAGCCGTTTTGTCTTTCAAATTGGTTCCACAATTGTTGATTTTTCTCTTTGTATAACTCCGTCCGTTTGTTTCCACAAGCTCTGATATGTCAAAATTTCGATTCTACGCCCTAAAATCACCTAGAAAAACAACTTTTGGAATAGAAATTGGTTAATTTTAGCTTTTAGTTGCTTTAGAGCTTTTTTAAAACGCGAAAAAAGGTGCGCTAATGGGCTAAGTGCGGAAAAAAAAGTGCGCAAATGTCCGGGTGCGCAAAAAAAGGCCGCATTTGTCCCACTCCCAATCATTTTGCTCGTTTTGTCGTTTTAGACTTTTCCCCGTCACTTTGTCCAGATTAACCCCAGATAATCCGATTTTGAAGCCCCATTACAACTTTTTTTCTCTAACAAACCAAAATAGAAATCAAAATGAATAGAAACTAGAGGGAAAATTCGAATTTTGGAGCTCAGAAAGAAACGAGGATTCGTGGGGGTAATTTATGCACACATTGGGCACACAATCCATTAATTTCTTTTTAGGGAGATGAAAGAAAAGAGAAAAGAAAAAAAGATTTTGGGGGAAAAGACGATGATTTGAACTAAATATCTTCTGTTTTAGTCAAATATTCAATAGTTTCTTTTCAAAAGCCACCGTACACTTGTCTCTAGAAGCTCCCTTTCTCTAGAAGCTCTCTAGAAGGTCCCTTTCTCTAGAAGCTCTCTAGAAGGTCCCTTTCTCTAGAAGCTCTTTAGAAGCTCTCTAGAAGATCTCTAGAAGCTCCCGTAATCTTTCCCTGTTTTACGGCATTTGAGGAGTCGAAAGATGCAAAACTGGTACCCCTAAAGCCAATATCCTAGCTACAGTACCCCTGCATTGTCTACAGTACATTTTACAGTACCCTGTAGCTACTACTAGCTACAATACTCCTGCATTAGCTACGGTACCTCTGTAGCTACGGTACCAGTGAGCTTTGTTTTTTTGAGCCTCTCTTAAACCCTCACAGAGTCAGACAATGTCAGAGTGCGCATTTGAGAAAACGATTAGACAAGAAGAACAGTTTTTTTGTTAAAGTGGAGATTCGGATATATGTAAATGGATACGAATGGATACTGTAGACACTATAGCCTAATACACTCTGTCAAACAAATTATAGACGTCAAAAAATTATAGAATTATAGAATTATCGAAAAAATTATAGAATTACCAGCAGCGCTGGGTATCCGCTACGCGGCTGCTTTGCTAAAAGCATCCAGGTAAAATGAAATTAACAATATTGCTCAACAGCAGTACTGTATCTACCTAGAGATATTGAGGGCACGTAGCACAAATCTGATTGCAGATTCGGTTTCCTCACCCCCGAAAAGCGCCGAGTACAAATTTTCAGCTTTCTAGCTCACTTTGTTGTAAATTTTACGTTAACGTAATTTGTATTGTCGCGTAGGCGTGTGGGACGGACGGACGGACTTTTTTTTGTATATAGTAGTGCTAAATTAAGTGCTAAAAGCTTTTTCTTGATAAAAGAAAAGTTCGTCTATCATTTTTTGACAGTCCTAAAACGCACTCTGTACATTTCTGTACTTGAAATAGTACTACCGTAAATACTGTAATAGTACCCCACCCCCATAATGACGGTGCGGAGCATTGCGTAGTCTAGCTTTGAACGAGTTTTTCTCGACACTGGTTTCTGCTACAATGTTCGTTTAGGTATCAAAAAATAGCCCTGAATTTCAGCTATTTTTTGATATCAAAGACGCATTTTTTGAAAGTACGGGCGCTTTGAAAAAAATGAAATACTAAAAAACTTTTGCGACTACGCGACTGTACAAGGGGGGTGGGGTATTATTACAGTATTTACGGTATTTCTATATTTTCTCGTTTTTTGAGATAAAGAAACTAGAAAAAAAAACACTTTCTACCCTAATAGCGCTAAAAAGGGCATGGCGCAAAAAGCACAAAAAAAAAGCGCAAAAAAACATGGTGGGTCTCTAATTTTTTGACAGATTGTATATATCTAACTTTTAAACAAGTAAAGTTCTAACAAAACGAAGAAGAAGAAGAAAAAAAAATGTCAGCTATGTAATAGAGCAGAAAGAACAAGACGGATTCCCAATTTCCCCTTCCGAAATGGACCTGGATGGGTGAAAAAGAAGAAGAAAAAGAAGAAAAAGACGAAGACAACTAACCCAAACCTATAGAAAAGAAGGGAAAGGGTATAGAAAAAAAAAAAAAAAAGAAAACCCAAATAGTAAGCTGAAAGAAGGAGGTAAAGAATCTAAAGGACCTGGGGGGACTGAGAAAGAATGAGAAAGAATCCAAGAAAGAGCCCCTCCTCCCCTCTAAATAAAGCAAAGAAGGGAATGGATCCGGTCTGTTTTCAGCGGGGATGCAGTTTCACATTCCATTAGCAAAGAGTCCCTCGCACAAGTTCATTATTTTGGCTAAAAAATTTTCGAAACAAGATTCGGAAGTTTTCTTGGTCTTTTTACGGTATTTTACCAATCTTGCCTCGCCGATTATGTCAAAAGTTTACTAGTATTTTGCGCTTTAGCAAACGCAACCCTTTCGGCATACTTAGATTCTTATTCTCCGCTTAAGTACGCCAGAAAGCGTGCATTTCCAAGAGCACAACGCACGGATGCGTTAAGTTCTATCTAAACCAGTTTGAAATCTCTTTTGAATGAGAATCCTCAAGTTTATAAGACCATCACTTCAAATCAGTAATGGCGATTTCTCAACCCTAAAAATTCTTAACCATGCTTGTTCTTTTTAACTTCTAACACTATCACACCACATGCTTTGTCAAAAAAAAATTCTTCTCAAATCACTCTTTAGCTCCTTTCATTAGTTTATTCTACCAATACAATCGGGGAGAATCGGTTACAGAATTTTTTGACATACTAATAAAGTTCCGAACCACTCATACTCGACAACATGCAAACGAAAATCGAAAGATTCACAAAAGAAAGGAACACAACAACGACTGAATATAACGGGGGGGAATCGAGAAAAATCTTTGAAAAACGCATGGTTATATGCATCTTTTGAATCTAAAAATGAATTCATTAGTTGATTTCTGATGAAAACTTATCAATAAACTATTTTTATGCACAAGGCAGAATTAAATACACTTGCTTTCCAAAAAATCTCTCGATTCCCCGCTTAAACATAAGCCAATCATAAAATAAAAAAATACGTCTAATCGAACCGACCTCGTTTAATTTGCGCACACTCGAGAGCGAGTGTTGTCGCATTTTTAGGCGGTGATGAAATAAATGAAAAGACTCGTAGTGGGTAGAAAGCAATAAATTTGAGGGATCAAAGAGAAACTTTGATGATCGGGAGAGCCTAGAGCGATGACAAACAAAATTTGAGAGGCACGTCTTAAAATCGATCAAGAGAAAATGGTCACGAAGAAAGGGACGAATCTTTAGAAAATGACCACTTGAAGTAATTCACAGGGTGCGGGCGGGTTCTTGAAATTTGGACCGAGAATGGTAGCGACAAGAAGTTGCTTCTTCCTGTTCACAGATTGCTCCCACACTTTGGCACGCCCCGCGAGCCGCTCCGCGCGCACTTCTGCCGTCTCTGTTGTCCCTTGGGCGGCCCTCTCGCCGCTTTCCTCTCCCACATCGCCTTCACCATCCGATAAATAGCCCGGTTCGACGAAGAAGCTAAAAAGAAATATATCAAAAAAAAGGTTAAATTGGTGAAATGATTAAGATATAAACTTCACAATCATTTAGTTTATTATCGATTATTAAAATGTCCCTTAAAATCTCATGAAGTGTAGAGTTTAAAGGGTGCGGCATATATAGTGTTGCGCTTCATGAATCTTTTTTTGCTTTCTAAGACAATACATTAAATCTAACTTGAAAAATAAGAATTAATCATAAAATCTACGCGTAATTTTACACAGAATAGAAGAACCATAACATCTTTTAATGACTTGGACAATCCTAGCTCAGCAACACAAAAAATGCTATGCTGAAAAACAATTAAATTCGAGTTTGGGGCTCAAAAAATCGTCTTTTTCTGCATTAATACGTTTTTAGAGTTAATTACTATAAAAATAATGCTTTTTGAGCTCCATTATTGCAAATGTGAGGCTAACAAAAATGGGCATATTTTTGAAAATATTCATTTTTTCAAGAGCAAGAATCACGTTTAAAGAAATATACGAATAAAGCTTTAAATTTTTACCCAAACTCACGAATCTAATGAAAAAATGTTCGTAGATTTTAAATATCTAAATGAAAAAACTGTCAACTCTTTTGGTTTTTGAGAAAACCATCCTTTTTAGAGCGCAACGCTATATATGCCGCACCCTGTACGGAAGAACTCTTTCATTTGATATTCATGCCCTAATAATTTTGTTAGAAATTAAATTCTAGAAGAGACTAGAATGCAAAAGGTGCAAGTTTTATGCAATTTCAAGAGTATAAAGTTTCCTTGTTTTCTCATATTGCCCAAAACGCAAGTAAAAACATGTTAATTCTCACAAAACTAACCCTTCATCATCATCCTCCTCGTCTTCGTCTTCGTCCTTTTCCACTTCTTCTTCCTCATCAGAACGACATTCATCAGCGTCCTCTGGCTCTTCTTCCCATTCCGAGTCGGAGTCATTCTGAAGCAAGATAAACTAATCAATAACTAAATTGTTACCTCATAATCGAGATTCACCATCTTTCCAAAAGGATTCTTTCCACTCACACCTTGGCCGGCTCGCTTACGCCAAGTTCCATAATAAGGAGGGCGGTAGTTTGTGTGAAAGTGAAACAGTTTCGCTTTCAGCGCACTAATATTGTTTTTTTCAAAACAATGATGAATGTCTTACTCAGTTCTCGATGCCAGTACAAGTTTACGCGATGGTTTAATCGAGTCCAAATAAGTTGAAGGAACCTCATCCTGAATTCATCACAAATAAAAACGAAAAGTTTAGAACAAACCGGGAAAGTTTTCAGAATCCAATCAGATGGCAAAACATCACGGCGATGAATTGGGGCCAAAGTTGCGCCCTCTTTGAGATGAAACGGTTGAAACCATTCTAAAGAAGTTTTACTGACAAATTATGTTGTCTATCTCACTTTCTTTCTCCTCTGGCTTCTCGCTGGCTTTTTCAATCTTCTTTTCAACCTAGAATTATGAATGTCTCAAGTTGTCATAACAAAACTACCTTGAAGAAGTTTTTGAAATGGGTCGACTGTCGGCGCTTCTTTTCCTCTTCAGCCGCTTTAGCAGCCTGAAAAGTTCAGTATAATATTTAAAAGTTATCCATAATCACCTCTTCTTCTCGCCTCTTAGCTTCCCTTTGTTCCTCCTTTTCTCGTTTAAGTTGAAGCTTTTCCTCTTCCTTCTTTTTCCGCTTCTCCTCTTCTTCCTGCTTCTTCAACTCTCGTTCTTCGTCCTTTTTCCGTTTCCGCTCCTCCTCTTCTTTCTTCTTTTCTTCCTTCTCTTTCATCCGTTCTTCGGCTTCTCGTTGTTTCTCTTCTTTCTTCTTCTCCTCTTCCTTTCGCTTTTCTTCTTTCTTTCGTTCTTCTTCTCGTCGTTTTTCTTCCCTTTCCCTTTCTTTCTTCTCCTTCTCTTGCCTCTTCAACTCCAGTTGGCGCTCGCGTTCTTCCTAAAATGTTGATCGTTAAATTTCTCGGGCGAATATTGTCAAACAAAACTATTCTAAGCGTCAAATATAAAATAGGATACCTTTGCACGTAGCTTTTCCTCGGTTTTCTTGAGTCGTTCTTGTTCTCGTAACCCCATCTTCTTGTTTAATCCCATCGGAGTTCTAGTCGAATGTGGAGGATGAGCTGTGGACGATCGGCGAGACTAAATAGGCAGGGTTAACCTTGAATTTTGATCCAATTCGTAACTAGGCTCTAGAAGTAGAAACTAGCTAAGTAGCAAGTAGCACTACCATTTTAGGGGTCGTTGAAGCTGCATCTTCCTCGTTTTCGGGCAATTCCACGATGCTTTTTTGCGACTCTGAATGGTCGGAGTCGGAGGACACCTCGAAGAGATCAATCTGAAATCATAAAATGAATCTTTTATAATTAAAATGAGTTTTTAAATTCATAAAGAATAAAACATTAATACCTTTGACTTCTTTAATTCAACCTCATCATCGGAATGGGCTCGTTTACGTGTTTCTGGCTAAAACGTTTCCAGTTAGTTGTTTAAAAAAAGTAAATTCAATACCAGAGACGATCCATCCTTTTCTGGATTTTCCTGCGTTTCCTCACAGTGGTTCTCTTTTGCTTCGATGTCCATACCGCGTTACCTGAAAATTTAAAAATGAACACAGGCACAGGAAATACAGACCAAAAAATACAGAGAAGCACGGGAAATAAGGCACCAAAACGAAAGAAATTAGCAACCAATCAAGATCTGACTAGACTTAAAGGATTATGACCAAATCACAAAGATCTTAAGCTCGCAAATTGTGTACATATAAGGGATAAAATGACTAAACATTCACTAGGTAATTTAAAAGATCCGTTTCATTCCTCGTCCTTTTTAGGGATCGTGTTGTAACCGGCGAGATGTTCGTAGCCTTTCTTGGCGACTTCGGCCGTTGAAGTGAGAGCTGTGTTCACCGATGACTCCACACTTTGAAAGACTTTGTTTCGACGCACAGCACTCCAGCCGCTTTTCACTGTGTCCCTCGTTTTCTCCATTCCCGCGTTTGCAACAGCCGCTGTCTTCTGAAAAATGAAATATAAATGGTGAAAACAGGCAAAATCTGATCTTATACTTTACACTCTGGTTTATTTTTAACTCATTAAAGTCTAAAAGTGGTCTTTTTTTCTTAATTGTTAAAAAAAATTTTTTTCTGATGCCAAAACCATCGATTTTGGAATAAAAATGTTGTTTAGCTCAAAATATGTGCCATTAACCTGTTGAACATTTATTATCAGAGCTAAACCATATATTTTAAAAGCTTATTGCTAAATTAAAGTATCATCTTATTTTGCGTTAGATAAAGTGAAGTACCACTGTAAAATGCTTTATCTTAATCTACTACCTAAATCTAGAAAGCACTGGTTTATTCTAAAACCGCTCAAATCGCAACCAACCTTAACTGCATCGGTGTCCATCACAGTGCGAAAAGCGGTGCTCGTCTCATACGCGATCATATCGATGGGACGCGAGATTTTCATCTTCCGGCGCAACTCGAGTGCGTGCTCCTTTCGATTGGAAAGCACCATCTCGAGTGTGCCGATTTCTTCCTCGGTTTTCTTCAAATCGTCCAACAGCGCCTCTTTCTCGGCTTCGGTCAACGAGAGTCGCTTCAAATCGTCGTCGACACTGCTTCGCATTCCGGGTGCGCTATTCTCTGTGTTCTCCCATTCGTCCAGATCGATCACGCTCATTTTCTAAAGTAAAAACTGAGGGTCGCTACTTTGCGCGAAACTTTTTGCCCAACTCGCCATAACTTTCTTTTAAGTTAGGCAATCTTTATGATTTTGATGTCATTTTTTGTAAATCTCAACAAGTGCAACAAAATAACACCAAAATCATAAAGATTGACGCACTTAGAAGAAAGTCATGGCGAGTTGCGCAAAAAATTTGGCGCAAAGTAGCCATCGCCGTATAAAAATTTTGAATTGCATGAAAAGTGGAGTTTTTTCGGAAGTGGGACAAATGCGATCTTTTTTTGCGCACCCGGACATTTGCGCGCCTTTTTTTCCGCACTTAGCCCATTAGCGCACCTTTTTTCGCGTTTTAAAAAAGCTCTAAAAGCTAATATTAACCAATTTCTATTCCAAATGTTGTTTTTCTAGGTAATTTTAGGGTGTCGAATTCAAATTTTGACATAACAGAGCGTGTGAAACCAATTTGAAAGACAAAACAGCTAGATCAAATTACAGAAAATTGTCGATTTTTCTCTTTGTATAACTCCGTCCGTTTGTTTCCACAAGCTCTGATATGTCAAAATTTCGATTCTACGCCCTAAAATTACCTAGAAAAACAACTTTTGGAATAGAAATTGGTTAATATTAGCTTTTTTAAAACGCGAAAAAAGGTGCGCTAATGGGCAAGGTGTGGAAAAAAAGGTGCGCAAATGTCCGGGTGCGCAAAAAAAGGTAGCATTTGTCCCACTCCCACTTATTCGGCCAATAAATAAGTGGACCAACAAAATTTACATAGAATAGAAAAGGGGGAAAATAGTACTGAAAATAAAGAAATTTAGAGCAAAAACTCAAAGTGGTTGGAATGACAAACTACTAGAATTGGCTATCGGTATTTTGGAGTACTCGCCTTAAAACGAATATATCTTTATGATTGTAGCTCCAAATGCTCTGAAACTTTTACCAATGGTAAACCAAAAGTTCAAGCTTCATTTTGGTAATTAATACGTACTGTTAGAAGAACAACGCATCTCAAAAAACCTTATCGATTATCGATAAGGGCTCGATAAGGGCTCGATAAGGTCATAACGATTGATTCGGCTTTTAGAGCTGCGTTTTGCGTGCTCTTCTAAGTATTAGGTACCAAAATGAAGCTTGAACTTTTGGCTTTCTAATAGTAAAAATTTCAGAGCATTTGAGTAGTCTTGTGCAAAGTTATAAGCTTTTTGCGGGACTACTCCAAAAATGTCGATAATATCGATAGCCAAGTCGTCAAACTATCATGAACTAGCCTCATGATAGGAATTTCAATACGAAAAATAGCAATTTTTGTTAAAAACGCTCATAAAAATCATGATTGCTTGAAATAGTTTCTTCCAAAGCTGAAATCTTTGATCAAAAAGCTGAAATCTTTGGTCAAAAAGCTGATTATTGCATAACGTTTCACTAGCAACAAATAATAAAAGTACTTTTTGTAAATCTGGTTGGGGAAATCTGAAAAAATTAAAAATTCAGCCATTTCATATGCATTGACTCAATACTCACTCAATTTTGTCGAAAATTTTCAAAAAAGCACTTGACATTAATAAAATTATTGTTAAAATTCCCGAAATTAAGTAGAATTTTCGCAAACTTATCACCTAACTTTCCGCGATTTCATATTGGCGGGAGCGGGTATTGAAACTTGGCAAAAAGCCAGTTTCTCCGACCGTGCACCGTAGCTTTCCGTCGCGTTTCTCTTTTCACCAAATTCCTGAAAGAGGCTGCGTGACCGACGAGTAGAGAGAGAAAAGAGTCGAGAGCCGTTTTTCCCTTTTCGTCTTTTCCTTTTTCGACGAGTGAGAGATATCACCAAAAGTGGGCGGTGCAGGCCCCCCTCTTCCCCCAGTGCTCCCCGGTCCATTGATTGCGTAAATGACGGAGAGCCTTGAGGTCCTCTCCTCTTCTCCTTGTGGTCCTCCTCTTCTTTTCCTCTTCTAGGAGTTGCTCTCATTCCAAAAACCGCTCCCAGGACGGCCCCGCCTCTTCCCCTTTTCTCTTCTATGGCCCAAAAAGTCTTTTCTCTCCTTTCTGCAGATCCCGGACCCTTCGCGCATTTGTGTATATGCACTCGTCGTCTATTAATACCGTACCCATTTTAATCTTATGTTCTTCTTCTGATCATTATCCTTGACTTACCGAATAACTTTTGCTAAATAAAGATGGTTGAGTCCTTTAGATTCGTACAGGGTCCAGGCCCAGGGTCTACCTCCAGGTTCAGGGTCCAGGTCCAGGCCTAAGGTCCAGACCCAGGGTCCAGGCCCAGGGTCCAGGCTCAGGGCCCAGGTCCAGGTCCAGGCCTGGGGTCCGGACCCAGGGCCTAGGTCCAGGCTCAGGGTCCAGGTCGAGGTCCAGGATTTAGGTCCAGGCCCAGGAACTTTGGGCTTGATGTCCAGCTCTTTATTACCTCCAAGGTACCTTGGAAGTAAAGAGTACCATAAGCATCTACCTAGGGTACCTTAGAGCCTAACAATGCCTTGAGTACTCCAGGATATCTCATTAGAACACCCTCAGTAGCCTAGATATGCATTTTAAAGACCCGGGGCATCCTAGGGTACCCTGAAGGCATCTCCTAGGGTCCTAGGGTCCTAGGGTACCCCAAAAACATCTCCTAGGGTCCTAGGGTAATACCCTTAGTACTTCGTAGCCTGATACGTTCTACAGACCCAAGACAGCATAGCGTACCCTGTCTAACAGTTCATTAAATACTCTAGTTTTTACATAGTGTCTAGTTTTTATAAGCTTCCAGCTAGAGTTAGGGCCCATAGGGCCTAACTGGGGCCCCACAGGGCTCCAGTTAGGCCTTCCTTTAGTACCCTATAGGGTCACCCATGGATAACTCCAAATCTAAACTAAACTTTGTTCGAATCCTAGTTTAGACTCAACCCCGATTGACCTTGAGATTGTTATTTTCCGAGAAAACCCGATCCGGGTTCCAGATTAAACAGAGAGTCATCCCAGTCAGTCACCAACCGACGTCACTTTTGTTGATCTTCTTGGTGTGTTTTTCCAACAATCTATAAGAGCTGTTAGTGATCAAAAGAGAACCCGTTTAAGGGATCGCAAGGGAAATTCGAGGAAATTTCGATCCAAGAACAACTTTGGACTGTCCTCTGATAGACTAAACCTCTGCCGTGTCCTTGGCTTTGGCCTAGCCCGAACTGCTTGATTATAACTGGACTAGTTTTAGCCAAACTTTAATCTAATAGTAAGCTACGGAACAACCAGAAGCCATCCAAGAACAACCCTGATCCTTTTATCCCCATTTTCTCTCCTTTTCTCTCCTTTTCTCTCCTTTTCTCCCGTTTTTCAATCCTTTTCTGTCTATCATGAGGTGTCTATCTCTTTTTGATTTTCACTAGATTTTCTCTTTCTCTTTTCCTTTTTCTGTCACCTGACACCGTCTCCAAGTATTTCTTTTCCCCTTTCCCTGATCGCTTATCATTACCCTTTGACTTTTTGTTCATTTTTTGGGATTGAAAGCTGTTCTAACGGTATTTTCTTTTAAAAATCTTGCAAATCAATGTTGAATCTCTATTTTGGAATCTAGCGCAGTATTGATTTTGAAAAGTGCCCCTATTTTAGATAGCAGAGCGTCTATTGTAGCTGTTTTAAAAACTGTACTGTAGTCGTTCGGGATGCTGTAGCTAGGACTATTGTAACTGTGCTAGGATTACTGTATCCTTTAGGCGTACTGTAGCTAGGAGTCCTGTAACCGTTAGACATACTGTACCTAGGACTACTGTAGCCGTTAGACAGTCTGTAGTCAGGACTATTGTAGCTAGGATTCCTGTAACCGTTAGACATACTGTACCTAGGACTACTGTAGCTAGGACTACTGTAGCTAGGGTTCCTGTAGCCGTTAGACAGTCTGTAGCCGGGATTCCTGTAACTGTTAGACATACTGTACCTAGGACTACTGTAGCTAGGGTTCCTGTAACCGTTAGACAGTCTGTAGCCAGGATTCCTGTAACCGTTGATATACTGTAGCTAGGATTCCTGTAACCGTTAGACATACTGTAGCTAGGAGTCCTGTAGCCGTTAAGCATACTGTAGCTAGGATTACTGTAACTGTTTCCTGGATTACTGTAGCCATCATCTTTACTCTTTATATCTTTACCTGAAATGTACTTTGTGCTCTTTTATAAACGCACCCTTCTGGCGCACTAAATTCTTTACTTTTCTTGCTCCTTGCGAGAAAAATTGAACATTCAGGCGCCAGATAGGATGTGTTTACGAAAAAGCAAAACTACACCCAATCAAATCCAGTTTTCAATCTTTATTTTCATACTTTTAAACCGTAAAAACCCTAAAACCTCATCAACCAAGTGCACTAGAAGGCTCGCGTTTTTGAGAACGCACAAAGCACATCAACCATGTGCACCAGAAGACTCGCGTTTTCGAGAACGCACAAACCTCATCAACCAAGTGCACTAGAAGGCTCGCATTGTTGAGAACGCACAAAGCACATCAATCCCGAGTTTAATTTTGCTTTGTGTGTTTCTTTTTTTTTTGTAAACCCATCCTTTCTGGCATACGTGGCCTTTCTGGCAAAAGCCTCTGTGCCAAAAAGCTCATTTTTCCAAGAACACAAAGTACAGTAAAATTTTTCAGTTTCAGTCAAATTTTGAAATCAAAATTTTCAGCGACAAAAAGCGCTATTGAATCCGCCAAACAAGCGGATCATTTTTGAAAAAAAAAATCCACAAAAGGATTGTGTTTATCCAGAAAACAGAAAGAAGAAAAGAAAACGGAGAAATTTCTTTTCCTTTTTTCCCCATTTTCTCTAGATTTTCTTACATGGAAGTGCGTCAGATTTCGCGTGTTTTCTCAACTCCATTTTTCTCCATTTTTCCCTTTTTTCTTTTAAATTCTTTAAATTTCAATATCTCAATCAATTTTTAAAGATCTTTTCTTCTTTTCGTCTTTCGTAATATCTTACAAAGACACAAATTCTCAGCTGTTTTTGGATTTCAAATTCT